GTTGCCGAGAACGTCGATGCACGTAAAGTACATGCAATGCAACCAATGCGCGAAACGATGTACACACGCACGCGTGTCGACAAAGATGGCGTCGTACTTCGACATCTTCTAAGTCCTTACGAAGACGGAGTCGAAAGATCGGTCTTTCTTCGTTCGAAACGCGAAAACGATCTATACCTCGCGGACAACTCGTTGCGAGTAAAAAATTTGTAAAATTGGGACTCGAAATAATTGGTCCCCGAGGTAGAGAAATTCGTTTCGCATTCGACGTATTTATACGTAGACCACTCGCGAAAGTACGAGCATTTTCGACCGGGACGTTTAATTGCTGTCGGCACGCGAACGAGTATGTAGCCAGACGCGTGCCTAGGCTGATCGAGAGGTTTCGTTCGTTCCAGCGGCGAGGAGTATTGTATTTCTCGGTTCTTTCGTATACGAACGTGATTTTATTTATTTTCCATTCGCTCGGGGATAACGTGGAAACGAGAAACGATGTTAGTTGACTTCTAGTCGATACAGGGTAGGCCTTTCTCGACGCTGAGTTCGATTATTAGGACATACGATTAGGTTCGTTCTCGCCGATTGGAGGACCCGAAGCCTTGAATTTCGGTCGGGTAGCGTGGATCGGACGAATTCGCGCGTGATATGTCAAGCAGTTGCGAAACCGGGTTGGTCTCGATGAAGACGTGATCCCGCGACGATAGGAGCCTAAGGGCGTCAGCTTGTCGGGCAATTTGCCTCTGTGTGTACACATCGGAACGGGTAAATTTGTTCTCCCTGTTCTCCATCCGGTCGAGCGACGCTGTACCGATTATCGTCAGTTTCGTCGATCGACGAAGAACCTGAGCGGACACTGCGAACGGGACGCACATACAAGCTGAGCCAGAGATGGGTTAAAACTGTATTTGTTTAAAAATATTAACGTGACAAGCTCCCAAGGTTTCAAAACATTCCTAAATGAATCGTTGGTACGTAGAAGTGTTTCGGTACTTAGAGATGTTCCTCGGTTCTTGTACGTTCCAGATGAAATATAATTCGTTTCGTCTACAAAGTTTCATTTTCCTGTTATCCAGGAATCGTTTATTCGGATGAGAGTTTGGCCCATCTCTGGGAGGACGGGCGCATTATGCGTGTTGTACGCGTGAACTGGAAGCGAAACAGAGCAGAAAAGGCGAAGAGGAGAAGACAAATTCCGCTTAAAAGCTTAAAACGTAATTATTCTATTGGCAAACGACAAGGCGCGAACGCACATATCAAAGAGGAAGAGACGTTGACGATTAATAAGATGTAAAACTGATCACTTAGCGGTATTAATAGTGGTATACTTACAAAATCGTAAGATATTTAGGTGGGGGAAAGAGAAAAAGAGATACAAAAAGCGTTACAGAGTTTCTATATGATTAAAGATTATTATATTATAATGCGTATTAAACGAATAAATAATATATATATATATATACTGTTTTCGGGGTCGTGATTCGGGCCTGTCGAGCGAAAATGTTCGATCGCGTGCAGATCGATTGTTGTTGGACGCGGGCGCGCACACACAGACGTACGCACACGCACTACTGTATACTATATAGGGACGTGTGTGTGCGCGTCGCGCGGAGATTGCACGCGTGAAAGATAGTGGCCAGGTAATTATCGATCTTCGGCGTATGCCATGTCTCTTGTGATTAGTTACATAAACACAACACACACACACACACACACAACACACAAAGCCACTTATGTACACATACGTATATACGTGCGATCTCGTTTGTTCCGATTCTGTTTTCACGTATATATATATAAACACAAACACCTACACACACACACACACATATATATACATACATGCATACATACATACATATATATATATTTTATGATTGTCATTGTTGAATTCGTCGCATTACATAGGGTTTTACCCCCGTCCATCGCCGCAGTAGTAGACGTATTGGAATACGACCGTAGTTGAGAGATCCGGATTTTACGAGGTAAACAGAGAAGAAAATGAAAAAACCTAGGTTACCGCTGAACCCTAGCTGGGTACACGGATAAAATGATAAATCTTATAAATAATACAACCATTATACATATATATACATATACATACTTATATTACATACAAGCGCATATAAATATGTAAAGGTTCTAACGTTGTATACGTTCGGGGTGAGAGAATCCGCGGATAGGATGATTTTATTACGGTAACGCTTTCTTTTCGCTCGTGCGTGCGAATATATGTCGTTGTTGGTCCATTTTTCACCCTTTCAGGCCCCTCGCCAGCGAATACAATTCAAAACGAATCGAACACACGAGAGCGAAACGTCCGCGAAGATTCATTCGTTAATTAACCCTTTGCAGACCGGACATTTTGGAGCACGAACGTTAGGGAAACGCAGGAGAACGACGCGTATTCGAAAATTACTCTGTTCGCTGTGCACGCTTTATTTCGATTCGACGTATCGTTACATACGTATCGGGGAAACCAATTTCGATTAATTCACGGCGATTCGTAGACAATTTCCCGATGTATGTCCAAAAAGGTGAAAGTATGTCGTCTGGTATATCCAGCCGCCGTCTGCAAAGGGTGTAATCGTTACGCGCGAGTCTTCTTCTCGCGTAATAAAAATTTATTCGTAGTTATTATGCCCGGAATGCCGTTGAGGAGGTAGCGAATCCCTTAGAATTTTAAATTCCTTCCTTTAATCTTACATTCTTGGATCAAATTTACATAGTTCATTATTTCTACTTGATATTTGCAACTTAATGTCTAGTAGTCGCGCGTGGAGCGCGTTCTCTGTTGAAGTCGAGGCAGGTCTCGTTCCTTCGGGAGTAAAATCACAAGTAGAAACAGGATGCCTTGACTTCGGATACAAACTCTCTATGCGTTTTTATTTTCTTCGAATATTCAAACAGACCAGAGCGCAACGCAAAACGGAAAACTTGTTTACTATCGTAATATGTAAGAGGACAAAATAGGCGAAATAGGGGTATGGCGGCAACGAAAGGGTTAAACTCGGACGCGCAACGACCGAATTCTGTTTCTCGCGGATATTTAGGGTAAATGCGAATTAGACGAAACCCGCATAGCACGTACATATACATATATACATAAATGATAAATATTATGAATTTTACTACGGATTGCAGCGTGCGCGTGCAATTTGCTCGAGAAACAACGAGAGGTCTCGACAAGCGTTCGATTTGACGATTTTTGTGATACCCGTCGATTAACGTTTAAACGGCAAATCGATCTTCTCGATGGACGACCACGCTTTTTCGTTTTTTTTTTTTTTTCGTCTCAGAATATCACGAATAGATGAGGAATAAAATAAAAAAAAAAAAGAGAAAAAAAACAAATTTCGTACTTTGGGCGTCGGGTTTAGAGCCGCGATCCTCGAAGCCAAGTGGGGCGGGGGCGCGGGGGGGGGGGGTGTAAGGGGCAAAAGACAAAAATATGCTGCACCAACGACCACGTGTTATTTACACTTCACGCAGGATGATTTTTGGGCTTATACCTAGAGGAAAAAAGTAAAAAAAAAAAAAAAATAATAAAATAAATAAATCGCTGATCGCGTGGGCGAGTTATGCGCCGACGAGGATTCCGAGCGCGATGAAACAAAAAAGAGCGTAGTGTAAAATCTCGCTGATAAAAAGAAAAAAAAACGAAAAAATGAAAATGTAACAGGCTGATGTTAAATGAAAACGTTGCCACGGTGGGTCCTGGTATCGAACGAGCGACAGGGATCGACGATTGGTCCACGGCCGATCGTTCTTCCGCGATCGAGGATATACATATATCGAGGATGCGTACGCGAAAACGTGCCCGGCGATTTACTCGAGTCGTGCCCCTTTCGATGCGAAAGTGCTTCGAAAGTGTTTGTAAACCCAGCCCGATACGAAATCGATGACAATCGATCGGGGATATCTCCATGTTCGTTCGATGTACCGACGCCACCGCGGCCAACAACCGCGTGCAATAAAACAGAATATATATATTACAATATTAATATCATTATATACAACATTTTTACGGCATATACGAATACGACGTAGAGAAAAAAAAAAAAAAATGCAGGTGAAACAAGTTTAGGATTAATATTACTTGTTGTTGTCTACCATAGCGTTGTAGTTATATACAATACAGGTAGAACATTAACTATAGGCAAGCTGAAGCGTGCGTGAGGGAGAGAGCGAGAGAAAGAGAGAAAGAGAGAACGCGCGAGATACGGTGAGCGAGTGTGCGTGCGTGTGTGTGCGTGTGTGTGCGTGTGGGTGGGTGTGTATATGTGTGTGCGAGAGAGAGAAGAAAGTCAGCGCACTTGTCGAGCGTACATGTTACTATTACGTAATAGCGAATATATATATATTCACATATATATGTACTGTACATATACCTATGTGTATATATATACATACTCGAAGAAGCTAGTTAACTTGAAGCAACCCAACAAACAACAGAAAACAAAAAAATCAATGATTACCAATTATATACAGAAAAATCTATACATATAAACATTAAAGAAAAAAAAAAATGGAAAAAAAAAACGTGTGCCTATGTGCGCACGTGCGTATGCGCGCGTACGTGCGGACACACTTCGACAACTCCCTGAATTCAAACCCCTGTTCCCCTACCGCGCTCCCACCATCGCTACGCCATCAACCTTTCCCAGCCTGCCCCCCCCCCTACCCGCCACTCCTTCTATAACCTCCCCGCTCCTAACCGTTCAATCTGTTCCCCTACTCCACTTTGCCTCTCTGGCTCTCCCTCTCTCCCTACATTCTTCACACGCACTTGCGCACATATCCATGACGCATTACCGTAGCCGTGTTGTGTAGGGAATGTCTTTAACGAATAAGATACGATTTCTCATGTTACATGTTATACGATGAAAAACGCAGCAAAAGTAACTTTAAACAAACATAAACAAAACAAACCAAAAAAAAGAAAAAAAAAATAACAAAAATAATAAGTAAACGAAAACGAAGAATAACGAGACAAACAAAAATCTCTTCTCTGGTCAGTTGCAGGATCGCTCGAACGTTGTCGAATCGATATTCGTCGTTTGTGTGAAAGACGATGAAAACGAAGGAAGAAAAAACAGAAAAAAAAAAAAAAATAGAAACGAAAGAAAGGGAAACATTGAAAGAGCGAAAGGCGGGACGCGAGAGGAAAGACGAAGCGGAAATTTCGTTGACGAACGCGCGTAATCGGTGGAACGGACACGATGAAAACGCGAAACGAATTGGCGAACCAGGGGTAGAATTTTTATCGGGTACAGCGAGCCCTCGACTCGAGCGGTTAATTCGTTTTAGAGCTTTTCCTGCGTAAGCCGCTTTGTATAGATCGTATTCTTTCGAGGACTTTCAGATCGGTGGATGTTTTCATATATCGCGAGACCCACGTTACATCGTTTTCGGCCTTGTTTTAATACTTGTACTAATTTAGAATGTATTCGATATATAGGACGCATGTTGCGACTCGAGGTCTCGCTGTACGCGCGAGATTCATTTCATCGACGTTAAAGCAATTGTTGCGTTCATTAGTTACGAACGAGAGTTTGAAATTTTAAGATTGTTAACGTAAATTTAGGAATGTTGCGAGCAATTTAGTTTTCGTCGCGTCGTTTCCACCAGCTACGCGCTCACTCTGTACATTACAAGTTATTCGTGTTAATTATTCTTATCATTATCATTACTACTGTTACTAAAGATATGTGTATATATGTATGCATGCATAGTGTATATATGTATACATATAGACACGTGCACGCGTGCGTTTGCCAGCCGCGGCGTTCCTTTATTATTCGTGGCTCGATTATTTTTTTTCTCTCTTTCCACCCGCCACCCAGAGATGGACAGAATTTCATTCGAATAGCAATCGACGAATAAAGACGCGAGTATAATGACTTATTCTATTGAACAGTCGTACAGGCCGGTTTTTATTCGTTCGATGTCGAAACGTTACTTCGTTCCAGGAATTCGAATTCCAAGTTTTATTTAACCTGTAACAAATAAAAGATCGATTATCTTTTATTCGTTAGCGAAACTACTTTTCTCTAGATGAGAATTTTGCCCATCTCTGCCGCGACCCGTTTGCTGTGCCAGGGCCAGCGATCGAGCTCCCCTCGTCGCTAGATCAACGAGAATCGGTCGATGAGAAACGACCATCGCTAAATATACGAACGATACACGGTTAGTAACATCACTGGCGATGTGCTGATGCGCTTGATCGTTTATCATCCCTCTCCCACCGTTTACTAGTGCGACATACCCTCACCCCTGTCGTCGTCGTTAAGAAACGCGGTGCTCTTGATTCCCAATCGTTTTTGTATCACGAAATACAGCGATATAGAACCTTCCCGTAATCCCACACGGCGGATACAAAATTGATTTTGGTATTCCCTGTACGTCCTACGTGCGAACCTCTGAAAATATGCGTCCCAGAGGAGTAGAGACGCAAAGGGGTCTCGCGTCATTCGAAAGTCCCTTTAAAGTCACTTTTGAAGTTCTTGAAATTGCTTTCCCTTATTCCAGCCCCCGTGATTACGTTACATCTCCCGTGGTGCTCCACGAGGAATTCGAAATTTCTCAAAAATGGTTTCGGGGTGTATTCGATTCAAGCGTCATTCTCGATCGTTTCCAGTTTCCCTTATTCTAGCTCCCCGTGATTACGTTACATCTCCCGTGGTGCTCCACGAGGAATTCGAAATTCCTCAAAAATGGTTTCGGAATGTATTCGATTCGAGCGTCATTCTAAATCGTTTCCAGTTATTGAGTCTCACCCCGAAAGTGAACAGTCAATTTTAGTTTCGTTTTAGTTCTCATGCACGGACTAATTTACGTAATCCTTTTACCGCGGTCTACGTCGTTCTGGAATAATTCTCATTGAAATCTGTTAACATCTGCGTGAAAAAGTGACCTGCTTCCAGGCTACGAGCGTTCGTTGATCTGATGTGAAATACAGTCACGAAAGTCTACAGTCCAAAACAAACGGAGATAAAATTAATCGAACGAAAAGCGATTGCAAACTGGAGCGCCCGAGAAATAATTGTCATCGCTCTGTTCCAAACTGTAGTTTAAACGATTAAGAACCATTGCCTTTAGGGTATCTCGAAATAATTAAACGAAACGTCTCCCGCGCGTCTTTCCACGAATCGAACATTAGAAGGAATTGGTGGGAAAATGTCTTAAAGATAAAGGTTGTCCCCGCGTCGCACCGGGGACAACCGCGATCGAAGCGTCAGCACATGCGGAGAGAGAGACAAGAGGATGCACGATCTGCGAACAATGCATCGGATATGCGGGTCAACGATGCCAGCGTTGTGCCCAGTTTTCTTTTTTTTTTTTTTTTTTCTTACACTTAACTTTGACCGAGAGAGTCCTCACGGCACGGCGTAGATGGGAAAAGTCGGGCGGTGGGTTATCGATCATTAAGAAGCAGATATACATATATACGCATTATTCCGTACCAAGTACGGCTAGGGGCTAACCGAGTAATTTAATATAGAATTAAAACAGTCAACTGTATCGCGATTAACGGAGCACGAACGAAGAAAGGCCTGCATCGACCATCTTTCCTCCACACTTTTAAAACCCGATAATCCCCCTAACCCCTCCGAGAACCCTTTTTTCCCCGCCCCCGTTATTCTAACGACCCTGCCTCCCCGTGACCCTCAACAAAAACAAGACAACATATTGTAATCTATTGTAGATTGTTGTAGATAAATTATACGGTTTTGACCGTACATTGTTACTTTTTGTCGACAATATAAAATACACAGATATATAAGTAAATTGTATCGCGTCCGCGTTATTTCCCTTCGCGCGTACGTTCCACGAGAAGATGGCACGGGAAAAAGGATCTCTGGAAACGACGGGTAAGTGCGACGGTTTCATGTAAATTACGTTTAATCCAATACAATGTAAAAAAAAAAAAATGATACAGGAAGTGAAGAGTTAAACAAGCGCGTACTCGATGTTTTCTTCGTACCGCGTTTCAACGCTTTGGTAATTATTTACATTCGGTACTGGAACTAACTTATTCCAAAACTGATTTTAAACGTCAGTGAGTGACTGTTGGCATGCTAGGCGAGCCCACCACGTCTATTATGTCCGCCTTAACCTCGGGCTCCGTTTTTGGTAGTAATGCGGGAGGTATCGTTAACGTCTGAAAATTGAATATCGGTATTAATCGCCAAGACGAAAATTATATATACAATTAACGTTAGAATGTTACCTTTCCGGGAGCTAAAGCTTCGTATTGATGCCTTAACGATTGTAATTCGTAATCGCACGTTGATAATGCGCTTCTAAGTTCGTAATGTAGCACGATGTCGCTTCTTAATTCGTTGAATTGTTGACATATTTGCTCCGTAGGTGGCGGGTTTAATTCTAGAAAGAAGAACGTATCAATATCCGAAGTAATATCCGAGTAAATCATCGAAGTTACGTATACCTAGTCGCAGTTCGTTGAGCATTTGTTCGATACCCTTCATTTTCTTCTGGCCTAAACTACTTGGCAACTTTATTCTCTGAGAACGAAGCGACACGCCGCTATTTTTAAAATCTGGAAACTTGATTCCAGCTGATTCCACGGTCTAAAATTTTCGTTTGTACATGTACATATCAACATGAATTTAGTGTCTATAAAGTAGTATACGAAGATAAACTGTTATTGTAGGTAAATTATTTACATGAGAAGTATCAGTCTTATTTGGTCTATTTCTAGCGGAAGCGCCGCTTTTTTTCGTTGGTTTTCTTTCATTCTTTCTCGGATCGGCTTGATGATCGGCTGCCGTTATTAATTTTTGTAAGTCTTGCGTTTTCCTATCCCTCTCCTTCTTTCTTTGTTCAATTTTTCTTAATTCGGCCAGTAGCATTTGTTCTTCTTCCACTTGTTCGGGCGTTCTCTCGAACAACTTCTTTAATTGTTCTTTCCTACGTTTTTCGTGTTCTGCATCAAATATATAAACCTTATCAGTGTGAGACTTTGCCTTGGTTAAAGCAGCACACACTTGATAATACCTAAACATTTGTAGTTATTCGTATAAGTAATTGAGAATGTAAGAATAGACCTGAAAAGCGTGCAACGGTTACTTGCCTTTCTTTTAAATCCTCTACAGTTCTTGCAGGAAACTTTGTTCGATCCCACCTATCTTTGATTATAATAAACCTAAGATCGAACCTTCTACACAAATCGAACAGGTGATCGGTCTCTGCTCTAGTCCAACCATTTGTAACCAAATGTTGAACATATTCTGCATTGGTATACGTCGGAATAGGAACCTTTTTATTGAATTTAGCAAAGGGATATTCTTTCCCTGCATCCGCGACTCGTCTCCAATGATGGAAAACTGCGCCATCCGTTCTCGCGGGATTAGTGAACAGCGTCCATTTCCATGGCCTAACTTTTTTCATACCAAGCTTGGCTCGAACTTGTTTATATCCTTTCGCTGTATCCGTCGGAAACAGTGGTGGTACGTCGTTGTTGTCCTTACACAACAATGCAAACACTTCGCGATGCATGCCCTCCGGCCTTTTCGGTACTTTGTATTCATATTTTTTCCGATTCTTTTTGTCGGTGCCTATAATCGATTCTTTTGTAAGTTCACTGGTAGTGGGTACCTCGATATCTAATATATCACGTACATCTGCCATTCTGTTAATTAACGACGAACTTTCGTTTCTCCGCTGTTACGACGATTCTTCTTTTGAGGTTATTTATCCTACGATGACAACATTTAATGAATTGATTGCTATTTTTGAAGGTGTATGCAACAGGAAGCACGTGGTAGTTAGGCACAAAGAGGCTAAGCTATGATTACATTTGTAACACACACACACAATTGTTAAAAAATAACCTTTCTTTGCAAACTGAAGTACGATTATGTGCCTGACATGTTGCGAGAATATATATAGATATATAGGTACCTGTGTTGCGATTCATGGACCGAGAAACAGTACAGCCATCTCGCGGACAAAAGGACGAACTAATTTTGGTAACTTTCTACATTAAAACGCCCAATTTCGTTATTGTTCATATGCAAACATGTGATTTACAATTGTTACCAAGGTTAGAGCAAAGAAAATCATTCGTAATTATATGAAATATACTATTTTTAATAATATTTTATTCAGTACAAGGATAATGCAGATTTCTATCCTAGTGGCGCCACCGGTGGCAAAACACCCAAGTACACCCATTCGTAATTATATGAAATATACTATTTTTAATAATATTTTATTCAATACAAGGATAATGCAGATTTCTATCCTAGTGGCGCCACCGGTGGCAAAACACCCAAGTTTATAGTTGACGTAGTTAATAATAATTTGTTATTATTAACTATAATCACAACACAGACACGGAGGATCATTCGTGATTATGCCATATATATTATTTTTAATAATATTTTATTCAGTACAAGGATAATGCAGATTTCTATCCTAGTGGCGCCACCGGTGGCAAAACACTCAAGTTTATAGTTGACGTAGTTAATAATAATTTGTTATTATTAACTATAATCACAACAACAGACACGGAGGATCATTCGTGATTATGCCATATATATTATTTTTAAAAATATTTTATGTAATTTACTGTATTTATTAAAATAAAAATATAGGTCGATTATATACTCGCCTGGATATCGAATTGCCTTTCACCAGGGGCGCTCCGGAACAGAGCAGTAAAGTAGAATACACTGTATTCGAAGGACAAACACTCCGCTTCCTTATCTTATTTCGATAATCAACGTTATTAAAAATGACGTAGGGCATATACGGAGTTAAATAGATGATATCACGTTGTTATAATTACATGGATGTGTACTTATCATTGTAATTAAATATCGTTATTTACGATGTCGCATTAACACCGTCGATGTTCTGTCATGGCTTGCACTCTATATTTAGTTAGATTATACTCTACCACGGTTAATATATTACGGGTCTGAAATCTTTCGTTTACTGTCTGATCCTTGGTTTACGAATACTTCGAAAGAGCCAAGTTCTTTCTCAGTTATAAGCTCTGGTTATTAAAATTGACGAAGGAGAAAAAACGCAAAAGTAGAGTAGTAAACGAGTGTTAAAAATATTTTATTGTCTACATCGTTGTGTTTTAAACTGATTGAAATTTCATAATAGCAACCGAACCTCTATGTTTCGAAATCGAATGGTTACAGGAGAGCATTATATAAACGAACTCAGGGGAAACGTTGAATTTAGCGGCGTCCACAAAGAGAGCAACTCCATGACAGTGTCTATTATCACCATACTGTCGATGGATAGCTCTCTTCATAGCACACGCTTTCTCTTCTTACTCTTCCTTTAATTCCTTCGTGACAATTTGTAAAAAATAATCGTTTCTCCGTATGTTGTATCCAGGCTCCAAAAAGAATCTGCACGTTACACTTCTTGTAACCGTTGCTTCGTATCAATGTTCGCGCATATGTGTGTATAACGTTTGAATATTAATTCGTTTCCGAAATATTATTTTCGATCGAAAGATTGAAATTCTGTTTAACAAGTCGTACGGGATTTGGTACGAACCAAGCAGATCGGTAAACCAAATGAAAATAGCGAAGTGGGAGGCAGAAATTGTCGCTGTAGCGGAGCGTAGCAGCTTCACTTGTTATCAGGAAGGTGCGAGCAGCCACCTTCCTCTTTAGCGCCGCCATCTGATTGCGCGGTAAACACAACCTCCGTGCGTTAGCTCGTGCCAAGAGTCGTTAACACTTCTCCTTCTTCTTCTTTATCCCGACGTTCTTGTTCGACCATTCGAGCCTAAAAGATACAATGAACTTGAAATGAAATCGATGCTCGATCACGGAAATAATAGCCGGTACGATACGAAGATTGCAACAATATCCAATAATAGATTTCGGATACCGTCGAGCGCACGATACAAAGGGTCGAATTCCGACTTGGTCGGAATTTATTATATCGATACGAGATAAGTTCGAATAATTCGCCTCGTCGATAACAGTTATCTGACACCGTTTGCCGGTAAGGGAATGGTAACAATTACAGATTTCCTGCAATTTCTAAAAATATTCATTTCACCGAGGCAACCTTCGAGGATCAAAGAGAAATAAAAAGATTCGTCGTGTTACGAATTACTATTATCGTGTTAGCTATAATTAACGGGTATTAACTACTTTCCAAATAAACCGGGAGAAATGAATTCAATGGTAGCGTGGTAATCTCGCGTTTTATTTACTCAGTTGACATTTTCACTGGTTACGAGAACAACTGTTTAAACAGATAAACATTTGGAGTAATTTAATCATATTTAGATATTTCTCCTTGGTATCTTTCTTTTCTATTTCTTATCGGCCATAGGAATTCCTTGAAAGTGGAATACGTTACGACGCCGACGCCGACGCGACGCCTGTAGTACCTTGCCGATGAGTATTCGCAAATAAGTGTATTAAACAGCTAGAAAACACGTGATCAAAGTTGTTTTCTAAATTATCTACAAGCACAAAATACTCCCATGGAAACCTTCGGTCGTACAAAAGTATGGACGCGAAAAGAAAATTTTCACGGAGCTGAACAATGAAGTGTCCTTCGCGATGATTCGGGTAATCGGAACGAGAAATATCGTACTGTTTCCATGCTGTTCTATTACGTTGCCGAAGGATCAATAAAAACATTCGTTTGTTAAACCTGATGACAAATATCGAATATCGTCTTTGAGAGAAGCCAACGATTGCGCGTTATCAGTAGACGGCACGATAACGCGATAACGAGTTGACTCGTACCGATATTACCGAAAATCCTTTGGTAATACGTAGCTTCTTTCTACCTGGCTTTTTTTCGCAACTCGCTTGAAATATAGACGCGAGATTCGATCGCGGAATAAACGATAAAATCATCGTCGAAATCTTCCATCTTCTTTTTATTCGAAAGGAAGAAGAGATACGCGATTAGATATGAAACGATAGCACAACAATTTCATTATCAACGTCAACTTGTCTTTCGTCACGATGGTTAATTACTAACCGGCGCGATTAACAGGATGAAATACAGCGAAATACTTGGATCCAATATGCGCGCTATTTGAATATCACTCCTGAATTTAAAAAAAAAAAAAAAAAAAGAAAGAAAATATATATATCGAATTGAGTAACATTCTTTTCGAGAAAGAAACACTCTGCCGAATAGTTGAAATTTCTCGGTATATGTGTGTATAGAAATAGTAAGCTGGACGTGTTAGAAAACATAGTTTATTAAAAACAATTTTGATCTTTTGAAGCAATCCTTCTAAACGCGTATACGTTTTCGTTTTCACGCTAGTCGACACGGAACAAAACACGAAAGAGTTTTGCAATGGAGTATGATTTGTAATATTCCCAAGGAGCAATTGTAATTGTACTCTCTAACATGTATAGATTATATTCTGCAATGTATCAAATATGATTCGTAACGAACATCTAACGAAACTTTCCACCATAGAACATAATTTATAGTCGCTTAAAAAAGTATTATTCTCGAGACACGATAACACTCCGAATATCTTTGGTGGCTGAAAATTCAATATTGTTATCGTGGTCGCTGTAAAAGTTTCATTGCCCGTGCACGCATGTTACATAATCATCGTTCCAAGCGCGAAGCTAACGTCGTGTGTTCTCTAGCAGCAATTATACCCCTCGAATTTACACATGAAAAGAGTACGACACGAAGAATTCCAGCTGTGGCTGCACGAGGTTGCGGGTACTCGTTCGACGCTAAACTTGCGCGCCTTTAGCGAAATCGAATTTTCTGTTTTCCTTCGAAGAATTATATCGTTCGGCGATATATTCGCCAATCAGCTATTTGATTACTTTTTTAGCGGACGGAAGAGAAAGAAAATAATGTATTTTAAAAGAATCTCCGCCGGTCCTTGGCGAACTTACCTGATCGGTATCCCCGGTACCACGATACGCCTGGTCGCGGTAGACATCCGGATGAACGTGCATTCCGGCTCGATGGTCTCTCCTCGTCCTCGATGCATGTCCTCGTCGATGAACAAGAAGTAGAAAAATAGCCGAAAACGAGAAACGTACAACGAACCGATGAATAAGAGGAAAGAAAGAGAAAAGAAACGAGCGAGAGAGTTAATGAACGAGAGTGAGCGGGTGGGTGGAATGGATGAGAAAAAAGAGAAAGAAGAGAGAAGAAATGAAGACTGACGAACAACTTTTGCAGAACAAACGAACGAAGAGGTTCAAGAACGAGTGACGTGGATGTCTCTCCGGGCCGACTCATATACTCTACCTGCGCTGATCTGACGTCACGGGTATGCTTCTTATCAAGCAGGAGCACCAACACCTGTAAGCTCGCACCTGTACGACGGAACTTGGCGCCGATGGGAACGCCCTGAGCTGAATTTTCATATAAAAGAAGCTTTCAACGGTAAGCGCTGCTGCGATCAACGTGTTTATCACGAGTCAATTTTATTCGATATCGTACAAGACACACCTCTAGTCGTTCTGCGTACGCTTCCACAGAGATTTGTTATTTCGAAATTCATTTGAAAATTCAAGCATCGCGCAAAACTAGCTGGAACTGTCGCTAACTTACGAGGATGGACCGCGAGGATCTAAAAAATAAGAAACACAAAAAGTAATAATTATAAAGCTTCTGTCTTTATACAATAAAAGCGAACGAACATTTCTCCAACGACGTCGCATTAAACGAATGTATATGGCGCTACGTACTTATTCGAATCAACCCTCGAGCTGAGATAATCGATTACGGAATGTTAGTTCCTAACATGAACTTTGTAGTTTGTATAGCACCAAAAATTATAGCACCAAACACCGTAAACGTCGATCCATTTTTTTTTTTCTCTCGACTATGCAAAACAACTCTTATTTCCCCAAGAATCGAGATAAGGCGATCGAGAGGCCAACGGGTACCAACCAACAGGCAGCCGAGAACGTCAACCATGTTCTCGAAATCTTGAGAAATGGGATGAATTTACAGCCGTAGGACTGGCGAACGATATCAACATGCAAGAGCAAACGCTATAGTTAAAGGTAAACACAGTTTACGTGAAACGGAAAAGGAGGCAGAATACGAAGAGATAGAAACGGGACATAGTTGCGCCGACAACGTCGATGTCACGCACGTTTACGTGGAGCGTTGCACCTTATCTCGTGTCCCATTTTCATCATCGTGGTCGGTTTTGTCGTTCTTATTGTTAGTTCTTACACAATTCTAATCGGTAGAAACCGTCGCTTTATTGTTCGAAGCCATTACGTTTAAATACAGCCACGCAGTCGTGCACAGTTTCGTTATAATTATAATTCTGATATTGGAATCACATCGTGATCGTGGAGCGATTGCCACCGGTAGCCAATGGTTTGCCCCTAAAACCGAAAAATTGTTCGTTAGCCTTCGACGATCGTTTAATGTTTAGCTTCTCGAATCACCTGCACGCGTCCTGAAACGTTTTTCTAACTTGATCGAGCATCTGCTTGTACATCGCAAGGTCCGAAGCTTTTTCCTGCTGAACTATACTTAATCTCGCCTTCGTTGCGAGACATTCCTCTTGGAGCAATTCCATTCTATAAAACGCATCATCGTTAAAATGGATAAAGAATGTATTTGCGTTTCGTTTACGGAAAAATTCTTTCGTAGCTTACTTGAACCGTGCCTGTTCAGCATCGATACATTCATCGTTGGTCTTCGACGACCTAGGCAATAACCTTGGCTTGTACCCCGTATCGATCCTCGCGTTCCCCGCTCTTTCTGTCTCCAATTTTCGAAGCTTCGATACCAATTTCGCCGATTTCTTCCTTTCGTCGCGCAAACAATTCTGTAATTTCCGTCCGTAACGAGGAATCGTAAAATTCACCTCGGCGATCAAATTCACTGGTGATAAAAAGCTTACCGAAAGACCGTCAACGTCGCTTCTCTCCTTGTCCAATCGCCTGTTCAGTACGATTATTAATTCCAACAGTCTTTCCCTTTCAGCCTCGGCAGCAAGAGCCAGCGTTACGTATTCGTTCGGTTCCCACGAATTTCGGAAACTAAGCGGAGGGCTGATAGGATTCATACTATTTACGTAGATATCCGTTTGAATAGTCCTCTGGACTCCTAACGATCCGAGACTCGAAGCAGTTCCGTCTCTAAAATCGACGTTACGCTCATGCAGAGTCCTATCGATCATTTTCACCGCCGACCGTCTTAAACATTTAAAAAGTCCTCGAACCTCAACTTATCGATCTCGATCTCCCGCTCTTCCAGTCTCCTCCGTAGTCGATCGATTTGCAACTGCGCGGATTGCAAGTCGTTCCTCAAGGCCGTACACTCGCGTTCGCTCTTCTCCTCTTTATTTTTCATATCTATCTCGCGGTCCTGGTGCTTCATCTCCATCGTCTTTAGTCGATTCTATGAATTTTCCACGCTTTAGACCGAAAAAGACAAACGGAGTCGAGAACGCGCGACCCTCGACACTTACGCTAAGCGTCTCGATCAAATGATCGTCGTGAGATCTCTTCTCGTTCAGTACCGCGATGTTTCCTTTCATTACATTCAGTTCGTGTTCTAGTACTTTGATCCTAGCCTTCGAAGCTTCCAATTTCCTCTTGTGACCTTCGATGGCTATCTCGGATTGCCGAAGTTGCTTCATTAAATTCTCGATTTGTTGCCGTCTTTCTTTCTCGACGTTACGAAGATTGGAGAAATTCTTCCGATCCATAGACGCTAAGAAAGAACGATGTTAAACTTGTTGCAATCAAATTTTTTACTCCGTACCAATGGATATCTTTTGGGTTCCTTCGTAGTCCGATAATCTCGACTGCAACTCCGTCACCTTCTGTTGCAACAAACGAATCTGCTCGGCTCTTCCTCGCCATCCACCCGGTTGATTCGATAGATTATTTATGTTGACATTCTCGCCCACTTCGCTGCACAGTAACTACGTTCACATCTTTAAAGATTATTTCATCTTTCACGACTAGAGCGTTTAGATTACCGATCAAACATTAATTTCATAAATCTCCGAAGCAAATCTGCGAAATATTGTTTATTAGAATAAATAACATACCTTGTGCAATTTGTTAATGTCCTGCTTAAGACTAGCGCAAGTATTTTTAGACTCGTATAATTTCGTTTGAGTTTGCTGCAACTTGTCGATCAGATGTTTCATCCGATCCTCGTCATCCTTCGTTTGACTGTTCCCGGTACCTTTGTCAACGATACTATCCTGGATCTCGATCATGATACATATTTACAATGATAAAATAAATTGTAACAAATTACAAGCTATCAGGTTTGTTACATTTTCATTTCTGTTCATTACGCAAATTGTTTCCATATTTTGTATAAAAATCATAGAATCCAATAATATGTAAACTCACTCTCTTGAGAGGAGTGCAAACGTTTTCTTTCGTGTATTTCGTTCTTCTCCTCGTTCTTTTTATTAGCCAAATTTACTTGGAGAGTTTTACACTTGGACTTGAGAACTTCGATCTCAGCTACTTGCTCTCTACACCTCTTGCTAAGCTCGATTATCTTCGTGGCGGCTATCTCGTTGGGTTTTCCCAAAATTGTCGTCGCTTGAACCGTTTCCACGGTTTCCTGGTTCTTCTGAATCTTTTCTTCTGCTTCCTCGAGTGCTCGACGTAGACAACCATTTTCGGCAATCAGATCCTGCCGTTTATTTCGATCATTAATCTTTCTTTAGCTAGTGCTTTTTCTTCGATTAACAAACATAAATAAATAGTTTTCCCTTATGCGGAGAGGATCCGCATAAAGGTGTGAAAACTTACACAACTAACTAATTGTTACATCCTTCCTATTCCCCGTTTTCCCTTATCGATACAGTGGTGAAATATTCTATTTACCTGAATTCGATTCCGTAAAAATAGATTTAATTCTTTCGGAAAAATAATATTGTCGGGTAGCTCGGCCTGAGACAGATGAAACGATTTAATTTTCTTATCGCTTATTTTACATAGTCAACACGATCCTGTACCTCTGTAAACTCGTTTCTCCATACAACTGTTGCCTCAAAATCGAAAGAGTCGCATGTTTCATCTTGTGTTGTCATACGTTTCACTTCCGATTCAGACATTTTTTACAGCAAACCATAAATTTCGCTTAACTAACCTCTTATATCAGAGAATGAAATGTATAACATTTTGTACAAATAAGAATTTATACTTTTGACGTTACGAGAATCGTCAGACATCCGATTTTCTTGTATTTTTTTCTCCGACCATTTGTTGTACGTGTACCTTACATACCACTTCATTATATCATAAAACATACGAAGTTAAATTTGTGTTCTCAAAAGCATATATTTAACTATTTAAATAAATAAGGTTAATGTTTCGTTGAATAAAGTATACGCATTTTTATAGATACATGTTTTATCTATACTGCTCTGAACATAAACTTTTATAATTAATTATCGCGTTTACATAAAAAACTTAATTCTAAATTTTCAAATAGAGAAACATCGAAGACGACATTTAAAAAATCATTTTAAATCTTATTCGTTCGATAATTATGTTTTCGTCGTTTGCCTATGTTGTTTCCACTTCTTTCCACCAAATTTCTGGTTATTTTTTTTATATCCACCTGCCAACTTTCCTGCTTTTTGAAGCGCCTGTAATTTAAAATTCTTCGCGACAACTTCTTTTTTGTTACCAGCACCTCCGGAATATTGCACATTTATTCGTCGTCCGTTAACAAATGAATGATTCAGCGCAAGTGCTTTCTGTAAATAAATATAAAGAATTATACATAGATAAACACGTAACCACTATATTATACATACTAAAATTATTTTATAACGTAATAAGTAATATACCTCGTAATCTGTATTATTAGCAAGCTCAACATAAGCGAATCCACGCGATGTATTCGCGTCTTTTTTAGGTATTCTGATATCGATTACTTGACTGACTTTAGTCAAAAAGTGCTTTTTAAGTTCTTCGTTAGTAATGCTGAAATTAAAAAAATATATTTAGTACAATGTATAATAAGTGTACGGAAGAATTATACAATTCTTACCTATACGGTAGATTTCCTACAAAAAGAACATATCTTTTTTTCTTTCCTTCTTGCTCTGTATTCTGTTTTGATTTTTCCTTCGCGCTGGGACTTTGAATATTATTTGTCGTAGCTTCATCATCAACCTCTGATTCGTCGTCATCGTCATCTTCATCATCTTCACTGTTCTCCTCTTCGTCCTCTTCATCCTCGTCGTCATCCTCCTCCTCTTCCTCCTCCTCCTCCGCGTCAATATCAACATCTTCCTCATCCTCTTCTTCTACATCATTATCTGTCTCAACATCATCATCATCATCATCATCATCATCATCTTCATCTTCATCTGGATCATTTTGTTTTACAAGAAGTAAATTGCCCTGTTTAGGGTTCTTTTTTTTATTAACTTTATTCATCTTAAGTTCTGGCTTTTCTGGTAACTTTTTCTTTTGTTCATTATTTTGGATTTGTTTCTTTTTTGCAACTTCTACTGATTTATTACCTGCCTGTTTTTTTGCAACTTGTTCCTTTGGCTTGTATGTTCCTTCTTTTATTCCTAACACTTTCTTTAATGTTGCTAATTTTCTCTTAGCAGTTTTTGTTAGATTTCCTCGCTTCTCTATATCTTCAATTTTCTGTTTTATCTCTGCAACGGATAACTCAGGTTTTGTTCCAGGTTTAGTTTTTTGTTGTCTATTCAATTTACGTTTCTCACGATACTGTAATCTTTGCTGTTTTACTCTTTGTTGTTTTTCCTCTTTGCCATCTACCATTTTTTTCTTATTTTTGTCTGTACTAACTTCACCCACTGGCTTCTTTACAGAACTTTGCACTACGCCCATACCTTGCTCTTTCTTCTTTTCGGTCGCCAATTTCTTCAATGCATCTTTTTTAATACCTTTATCATTTCGCACAGCTCCATTTTCTACCTTCGCTTTTTTTTGTGCTTTATTCGTATTTAATTCGCCTACCTTCCCAACAGCTTCGCTTTCGCTTACCGGGCGTTTCTTTATATTTTTAACCATGATTGCTTGCTTACTCAATATATAAACGTAAAGTCACTAAATATTCGTCTGTATAAAAGAAATGATAGTAATTTATAATAGTAAAGCTTGGAACGTAACAAGAATTAAGAATGCAAAAATCGATTATTGTAATTTTTAAGTTAATTTCAATGAAATGTAATTCAGCTTACCTATTTTTTAATTTGATATTTAATCGCTGCTCTTTCTAAAACAGTTTGAAGAACAAAGAAATGTGTACTTCGTCAATTAAATAGAATAAACTCAGCATGCCGCCTTAAACGTGGTCGAACATCAAGTTTTTAAGGTTAAATTCAACATGCGCGTGGTGCTAGTGCGTCTCTTTCTGCGTACAAGCGTGTAACGTGTAAATGTAGAAAACGCTGAACCACGTAGTATAGTTCCGATTTCGATTTATCTTATTTCCGCATGCGCATCGAGCTTATAATCTATATTTTTCAATACATTTTAGCGTTTATTACTTAAACTACATATACATTGCTTGCAATATATTATCGACAATAATTTTATCGAGCAATAAATAAAGTACAAATCGTATGACATATTTCTTTGTACTAGTGGTAATTTCAAATTGAGTAATTTCTTTATAACCGTCACTTCCGTTATATCAAAGCCGGTGTACCGGTGTTATTCGAAAAATATTATTATATACTTAAATAGTTGATAGAATGGTTAGAGAGATTTTTCAAAGCTATAGTCCTGCTTATTCGTATCGTAATGCATATCTAAATAATAACAAACTTCTTTAATTTATTTTTATAAACAAAGCTCGTAATTGTCATATAATACATTTATTAGGCAGTGAAATTTACAAGTGTTACTATCTATTTAAGATAGATATCTTTGTATAATTAAATATAAGCTGTTCTGTAAAAATATATCTCATTTTTCAAGGAATGTTAGAAAAATTATAAAAGTATTAATCTGTTTTAAGTCTGAACTAAACATTATATTTATACAATTCTAAATTAATCGAATGTCTAAATCATGTAACGAACAAATTTCAGTACAGTATATGGTCAGTAATGTTATTTTATAAACGAATTGTAAAAATGGAACCATGTAATATCTATGGAAGACATTTAGTAATTGTTGAGTGATTGCACTATATTTTAAAATACTAATGAATACTGTAAACGCAGTGTATATTAATTATTACATATTTGTGTGTGTGTGTGTGTGTGTGTATTTGATATAGCATACGAGCACATTAACCTACAATATTTACTTCATATAGAATAAACACTACAAAAGTTTCATACAATCGATTAAATATACTTAACCAGTTATTTACAATTACGAACCTTTTATATTGTATTAATATCTTTATTCCTGCATTAAAATATTAGGAAAAAGTCATTTCAAAATTGTACCATTCAAGTACAAATTTAATCGTACAATATACTAAAAATACAAATAATTCAGTTAAATTCATTTTTTTTACTTGCCATTGTAATAAGTGTTGCATACAAAATTTTACAATTCTATAAAAACAGAAAATGTATTACACAATACAATTGTGTAAAAAATTCTAAAGTTGATGTACATAACTAAATTTTTAATTATTTGTAACAACCTGAAAGCAAATACTTTTTGCTACTATGCAAAAAAAAAACAGTACGTGTATATAAATAATACATAATTGTTTATTTTACAATATTGTATGCAAAAGTTATAAATAAAAAGTTTGTACAGGAAAATATATTAGTTACTTATAATCAACTATAATATTAAATATACGTATTGTAAATTTATGCAGAAATTCGTTAAGAAAAAATAAAGGAACACAGTTGAAACCAACCATTATTTTCTCTGTATTAGCTACCAAATATTAATAAACATGGTATTATTATACTGGTGATACAATTTACAGTTATCGCTTTCGCATTTAACAAAAGTAGCAAATGTCTATATTTGGAAGCAATAATCAATCGTATCGTAAATTTACAAGTGGATATCCGGAATCCTACTATTCATTGTTATCATAATTGCTGTTCTAAGATTTTAAAAATTAATACCTGAGTTATAATAATTTTTATATTCAAAAATTTTCTTTTTTGTGTAAAATAAAAATTTTGCTGTCTACTCTGAATACATGTATCTTATATCTTCCAAGTAAATGCGAATTCTCAATAAGATCTATAGTAGTCTTTCCATCTTTTTGCATGAGCTTTTGCAATTCCTTGTCAAATATTATTAGGTCAACCATATAATACGGTGTCGTTGTTTCTAATTATCAAAATGAATTGACATTACAAACTGTTAAATATCATTTGTTATTCTGTTCAGATGTTAAATATTTACATACAACAAATTAGTATGTCTAGTCAGCTTTACGTGGCTTACGCTTGCGGACATTCGGACTACTCGGTTCAGGCTTTGAATCTTTGTCCGTATCTTTTTCTTTCTCTTCTACGTCGGATGTTTCCCCTTCAGATTCTTCGTCTACTAAATCGTCTTTAACATTTTCAACTATTTCTTCGTCCTGTATACTTTTCTCTTGCATGAATCCACCTGATCCATCTTTCTGTTTCTTTTCACCTTGCAGCGTTACAGGTTTTGGCGGATATATAAAATCGATCAAGCAAACGATAAACTGCAAACGATAATGTTAGTTTTTATTACATTTAAAATTTCAGCATATAAACTTACCAATCCCAATATAGCGCCTAACACGATAGTTGTAACTGCAAAGATTAAGTAACTTCCCCATGTAGGCACTCCAAAGTCTTCCATAAGTTTATTGTGTACACCCTGAATAAACAATAAATAAATTCAGTAATTAATTAGAATTAGGGCTATCTCATTGATTTTCATTCTGCTTTGTTGAATAAACACCATGTGTAATTATTATTTACCCGTAATACTTGTGACATTTTATAGAATTGACTAATAACAGACATCATAATAGAAGTTGGGCTTTTCCAACCAGGTATCGGTTCAATTTTTTCCCAAGTCTTTTCAGATACAAATTCAACCAAAGAGTCTTTATCTCTAGGACTTTTATATTGCCTAAATATACCATCCTTAACACTAAAAAACATTAAAATTATTTATGAATTTTCTATTTAGATGTTTACTTGTTTTTATGATATCAGACTAAGGAGGATGCTTACTGATATATCGTTGGCAAAGCTGTAACCATAAATCTTCCACTTAGTCCTGGAGAATCGGTCACGTCAACTTTTCCAACATTGATATTTAGATTTTTCTTTAACGAAGCAAGATGTTCCCAAACTGGTTCGAGTGCTTTACAAGCAGGACACCACGGCGCATAACTAAAATAAAAGATATCTAAATTGAAACTTTAAACATAATTATTTCAATTTGGAAGTCAAATTTTCAACACTGACACTTTTAGTAAGCTATTTCATTGTTCGGAATTTTAATTCAATCGAAATGTAATTATTCGCTTCCCCGCATTTAACTTCCCTTCTTAATTTATATGTTACATATTAAAAAAAACTTAAAGTACATAGTCTTCTTTAACGTAATTTTTGACACGCCATCAAATTTGACGACGCAAGAATCATTTCAACCTACAATTCCACCATCCATTCTCCGATCAGCATACGATCCCAGTTCTCTTCGGAAAGTTGTTCCGCGTAAGTAGTTTTCGACGATGCCTGTGTACTAACGCTTACAAGACTCAAACATAAACAACAACTTGTGATGTAAAATGCAAAATTCAATTTACCGTACGACATCTTAACTAATATACACCGGTATCTTACGCACAAGCACAAGCTGCCTGAAGCTGCCGGTTGCTGGCTGCTGGAAGAACCACACAAATCCGATCACATAGTGACAAATATAGTGATACGAATAAAGTCTTCTTCACAACATCGAAAACATTATAACATTTTGTTACCCTAAGAGAACGCTAGTAAATTTTTGTAGGTTTCCATCCTTGAAATGTAACTAGAGATGGGCAAAACCCTAGGCTTCGAATAAACCTGAAGTTTGCCGATGTGTTTGTCTCGTTTCTTTCTTTGGAAAATGTTCAAAAAAGGAAACGAAACAAACATGTCGGCAAACTTCAGATTTATTCGAAGCCTAGGGTTTTGCCCATCTCTGCTCATAGGTTCTGGCACCTGCGCACTCTTTAGTGCTAATCACCACGATTCAACAAATAAACAGTGAAGAGTCGAAGATGGTCGAAGAGAGTGACAGCAAGTCATAACAAGTGACCTACTTTTCGATGAAAGTGCACACAAACAAAGGAATCGTCTCTTGTTCATAACTAAAATTTAATGAACACCTTCTAAAAGCACGTAAATAAACAATACACGTAATTATTACTTTCATTGTATATGTGATTGTTAATTGTAATGTATTCTTAAAGTTTTACAGAAAATATTTAAAAAATTGTTTTAATGTATAATTTTCATGTAACATATACTATACATAGTGTATTTTTATTCAATTCTTTTGTATTAAAGTGCCATGTTATGTATCTTTATTTAATTTTTATTCATCATGTATTTATAAATGTAATAATAAACACGTTACTTTCATGCTCAATAAATTATTTGTAATGAATATTTTATTATAATTATATTGATTTAAGTTTTAATGTTTAAAGATTAATTTAATTGTTGTGTGCGAGTTTATTATAAAATTTGTAGAAAAGAATTACAAATATAAAAATTCTATAGGATAAAAGATATGTCTGCTGTCTATCCAACTTTGCCTAACTTGCCTACGCGGGATGGTATCGACGACGACGATCTTACAGACATCGACGACGAAGTATTCATTAAAGATGGAAAAAATGGTAGTTTAAAAATAGATGTTGATGGAGGAGTTAAACGGCCTTTAATGGCACCCCGTAGAAAATGTAAAAAGTCTTACAATTTTGAAACATACAGATTTTCAAACGTAACTTTCTATATACCTCGTTGTATTTTGCTTGTGACATTGGTAATACTATTAATAAGTGCATTTACATTATGTATGTATGTTGTAAATTTAAATCCTATGCCAATGTCAATTATGAAAAACTGGTTGTCACATGATTTTAAAGATACATCAAATGAATCCGATATAGTCCCGTGTACATCTCTTGCCACAAAGATGTTATGGACCAGATCGTTACCAAAATTGATATCCGAATCTCCATTGAGAAGCAGTGACGTTAATGACGATGGAGTGGAAGACATCATTGTTGGATTTAGTACAGGTTCTTATTTATATAGAAATAATTATATTAACTTAATCCAAATGACTTCCTACACTCTTTTTTATACTTTTTTATTACATTTATATTATAATTTACAGATTTTAATTTTGTAACTTTATGATTTTGTTGAAACTTCAATTAAGGAGGTAACGAATTTTTATTAATTATTTAATAATAATAGAAGCAGCTGTACAGGATGTGACTCTTGTTTTGAAATACAGGTTTGGATATGTCGGATACTCCAGAATATGTATGTGAATTATACTTCGAAGGACAAATTCCTTGCTTTGGCGGAGTCCTAGCTTTAAATGGTAAAACAGGAGATACTCTTTGGATGCACTGGACAGATCGTGCAATATTTTCAGTTGATTGTAGTTTGGATTTAACAAATGATAAAATTAAAGATTGTATTATATGTGGATACGGCGGCATACTGCGTGCAATCGATGGACACGATGGATCTATCGTTTGGAAAATACCAGTTCAGGAATTATCAACTTCGGAAGATTGGAAACTTTCTGAAATTTATGATGCTAAATTTATTGCGGATATCGATGGAGATGAAATTGGAGATGTTATCGCATCTCATACTGTACAATCAAGAGAAATTCATTTAAGTGAAATTCTTGTAATATCAGGAATTAATGGAAATATTATACGAAGTTCAATTTTACCAAAAACAGAGCAATTATTTTCAGCTCCTCAAAAATTAATCCATCCAGATGGTGAAAATATTTTTGTTTTTGTAACTAGTAGTCAAATGCAATCGGGGGCATTATACGTAGTTCCTCAGGTGAATTTGATACATGGTAATTTGGTAAGTTACTTGTTTATCATTTATGAACACATATATAAGCAGTAATTATATGAAATATGTTGTAGAAATTACGAAAATTGCATCGTGATACAGGTAAAGGAACTTCCTTACCTCCAATTTTGGTGGATATAACGTTAGATGGAATCGAAGATATTATCGTCGCTATGTTCAACTCTACAGTAATAGCTTACGATGGATTAACATTTGAACCTATTTGGAATTATACAGTCGCTAATTCTGAATTAATAAGTATACCTATTCCTGGATATTATAATGATGATAACATTCCAGATTTTATGGTGAAACATCATACAGACTTAAATCTTTCTACATTTTATTACACAGTCGCGACCATTATAGATGGAAAAACAGGAATATCTTTACTAGAGAAACCAATAGAAAATAGTCTAAATAGACAAATGTCTGGCTTATCTGTTACTGTTGAAGGTTTTGGTAACGATTGGTTTCTATATTGGTCGGTTGATTGTTTAACTTACGAAGAAATTAAAGAAAAATATCCATCTATAAAAAATGAAACACTTATACCTGAACCGGGCGCTGATTTATGTAAACTAAATTTTAACTCTACGCTAACCACAAATTTATATGCTTTGAGTCAACATGTTGGTCCACCTGGTATATCATTATATTTTTCGGCAACAATTTATAGAAATCAAAACGAAGAAGGAATTCCTAAAGAACATGAAAATAAACCTAATATTATGAACCGTAAAATAGATGAAACGTATAAGGAATATATGACGCAGAAAAAGTTTTCTACTATCGACTATCAAAATGATAGGGCAGGCAATTTTAATAAAGATTATACTTGGCAGAATGGAAATAAGTGGTCGCAAAAAAATACACAAACGAATAAAGATTACGATATCTTATATGACGGTGAGAGTAATAGTAATGGGGAAGATGAACAATCTATGGATTATTCACCGGTGGATGAAGTACAAGAACGAAGAAGTAACATTAATCGTAAATTTAATGATTATCTTACGAATTTTAATATGGAAAATAATAAAGATACAGACATAAAAAGTACGATTTCGCAGAAGAGAATGATAGGTTTTGCGCAAGACAATGGAAATAACACAAAGGAATCAACTGAACGGACTCTTGTGGTACGATTATTTGTATATACAGCTAAGGATTATATGGAAAATATATAAAAATAAATTACGTAAAATGTTTAATATTCAAAAATGTGTGGTAAAAATTGTTGTTCGCATTCTACCGAAGAAAATAATTTAATTAACGACATCGTTACATTTCAGGATGTTATGCAAGCTCGTAATCATAACTTTCCTAATACTATACAAAATAAAGAAGAAGATGCTACCATAGGAGAAATTTTTAAACAAGACTCGTTAAAGAATCAGAATAAGGAAAGACATATTAAAACGAAATCGAACATTTTTGTACAATTAACAGATAAATCTACAGAAGAGTTACACAAAAAAAAAGAGATAGAAGAAGTAAAGTCAAAGGCCGAAAGTCATCGAATGTATCAGATGTATGGTGTGCAGAAACAACCACCAACTGGAATATTGTTACCTTCTATTCTAAAATCGGAAGATACAACTTCTGTAGATTTGGTATTTTCTACACTTTGGTTACCTCCTTCGGAGATACCTGTAGTACTGGTTCAAGAAGATTCAGAGTGTAGAAAAAAGATACTTTTAGAACAAAAACTACAGTACAAAGAAAGTGATCATATTATTAAAGAATGTTTGGTCGAGCGCGGTATTAATCGCAAAGTACACCAACAATATACAGAAAAAGAAACTTTAAAAATTTCATTTGGACAAATGACAATACACAGAATGAAACTAGAATGTTCTTGCCCAGAGGATATGTTACCTAATCAAAGTTGTGAAAATATTTCCTCCCATCAGAGTTGGTCCGAATATTTAGGTCCGCGCGGAAATGGATATTTCAATTCGCTTCATAAGAAAAATACTTAAATAAATTCTATTTATATCGATATTTTGAACGTATGATACCTGTGCCTAAATACGTAATTCGTTTTTTCTTTAGATTATTTTGTTTACTTCTTATGTTAATTTTACAAGTTGTACATTTCTATATTTTGAAAAAATGTCTATAATATTTAATATACTTATAATGAAAGGAAGTAATTTAATAATTACTGATATATGTAAAATATAAAATACATGTTACAACCAATACAATTTCATTGAAATTTATTAAAACCATGTTCATTTATGCTTGTATGTGAAGTTAGTGTTTGATCAATATCTGTTTCATGTCACATCCAATCTTTTACAAAACATTCTAAACAACCATTATCCAATGTTTGCTTTCTTAATAAAAAAAAGTGGGTGTACGTTTGTGTCATTCATAAGAAAGAATTAATTATATTAGAATATTATTTACAACTATTAATTATTAAATATTATGGCTAAAAAACAAGCTATCAGCCGTAAGTTATATATTCTATAACATACTTTACATACATCAATATTATCAATAGTTTTCACGTTTGTATTATATATAATTATACACATTACACAGACCGTTCTTCCATTGTGTACAGTAATAAGCAAAAATTTCAAATGCCTAGAGTACAAGAAGTTTGTACATTTGTAAGTTATCATTGCATCGATCCCTTCTTAAAATCTCTATTAAAAAAATTAGAAATTTTAATACTTAATTTTACAGAATACATGTAGTAATCTTATATTTGCAAAGAAAAATCGAATAAAGGGACAGTACGACAATGAAAAAGAAAACTGGATTTCAAAGTTTAAGTAAGTTAACACTTTAAAAAGTAATAAGATATTATTGAACTAATAATATAATTTTTTATTTTTCAGGTACAGTATTTATATTAATCAAGAAACGATATTTCTGTGTATTGTATAGTAAACGACAAATTAATTGGTTTTGTATCTAATACTTTTAGCGTAACAGCTGCAACTGAAATTATGAGTTCCAATAATTATAAATATTTTCGACGTCCAATTATACCATTTTTAGTACCAAAAACACAAAATGTAAACATTCCTGAACACTTTAATCATGACATTCTGAATGATGTAGTAAGAGATGCTCAAAAACAGTGTTATGCATTTTCACCTAAGATAGAACCATATAAGAATGTGGGAACTCAAACAGATTATCGTGATAGCGAATCGCAAACAGTACCTTGGGAACCACCATATAGAATTAAGACAGGTAAAAAATAATGAATGCAATTTACATATGCATGTAATGCTATAATACATTTATTGATATTTTAGGACATAATCCTGAAGCATTAACGATAGCACATTTAACTTGGAATCATGGTTTACCAGCTGGACTTCGTGAAATAGAAATCATTAGTCGAGTGAGAATGAAAAAGGCATGGGAAGAAATCCTTCCTCCCATGGATACATCAGCTAATATCAAACTGCGGACAACTATATTAACAGCATTAGAAGTAGACGAATGGGCATTTAGAGAATCGGTAAATATTTCATACAAAATGTTTATTCGCATCCATGAAAATAAATTTTATTACCTTAGGAGATTCAAGCAATAATGGATTATAGATTTGAACTGATGTCTGAAATATCAAAATCTCTTGAATGTGAAAAACGAAAGAAAGCACAAGATCGTTTTAATAGGTTGAAAATTGTATTATCCGATCGTAGAGATAAAGAAGTAAATTCTATTAAACATAATCTTAGAAGAGAATTAAGAAAGCTTCGTAAAACACATCACCAAAAGCAGCGACCGGCTAGACATGATATTATTAAAGAACATGCTGATGCAGCATCTGAAATATATGCACCACAAATGCGTTATGGGGAGCATCCACAAAGAAGACATGAAGTAATACAAAAAGAATTATTAAGAGGAAGCTACATTGAAAGTAAGCATAAATGTATTATCATAATACAATATATTATCTTCAATAATATGTTGTAATTTTCAATACTCAATTATTTAGGTATAGATCAAATAAATACGTTACCAAGCTGGCTTCCAACATACGAAGAACTGAGAGCAATTAAACCGAAGCCTAAACCAACTGATCTTTGTATTAGAGAAACAAGATGGACAGAAGAAAAACTAAGACAATTACACTCTGATCTGAAGGTAATTAGATTGAATGTTGAGCAAATAGAAACGTCAACATTATTGAAGCGCAAATATAAAGCACCATCTTTGCCACCTACTCCATATAATACAACTACAGGAAATGCAGAACATGTACGCATAGATCAATTGTCTACTCTTATGCAAAAAATAGTTAGGGGAAGAGCTCTTCAATGCATGGTAAGTACTAGATATAATATTTCCATTAATTTCATTTTTATATTTCAATAAATCTTCTTATAGATGTTCGAAGGTCGAAGTAGATGCAGAGAGTTAATCGAGGAATTGCAATCATCTCACGGATTAGAAGACCAAAGTAAAAAGCAACGTCAAAAAGAGAAAGAGCATATGATAGATTTACAACGTTTACAAAATGAAAAAAGCACGCAAGAAAATCGTTTATATGAAATTCTTAATTCTTTAGAAGGAATAAGTCTTACAGAAATGTTGGATTTTCTTAGTAAAGTAAGATTTATTTTGTTATTCTTACTAATGAATTTATATATTTCTTACAATATGTGTATTTTTTTAAGGAATTGATAAGATTAGAAGATGAACGCCGAATACACGCTTTTACATTATTAGCTGAAAGAGAGAGAGCTATGAAAGAAGCGGCGGAAGCTGGAAGACGTCAACTGGAATACAATCGTCGTAGAGAATTTGATGAAATGTTTAAACAAATTGTAAAAGTTCAACAAGAGTCTGTGGAAACCTACCTAGAAGATATTATAAAAGAAGGCATCGAATGGGTATCGGATGAGGCAGCCAAAAAATATATTTTAAAGTTATGCGATAAAGTGGACGATATATCAAAATATGCCCAGGACAAGTAATATTTTGTTAAAGATAAGTTTTTAATTATTTTTGACTTATTCCTTTTATGTACATTTGTTTAGTGCAACAAGAGTAGCAGAAGAAGAACTGGTAGCAAACATGATTTATAACTTCGTATTACCCGAAGCGGAAAAAAGTTCTACACGGAAAAGTATAAGAGAAAAACAACAAAGTTATCTGCGAAATGCGCATGAAGTACTTTATGACGAAATATTAAATTTACCATCTATCGAAAATCTAAATTCTCCATCCAACGAAATATGTAGAGAAACATGTGACAAAATGAAATCAATTAATATATTAGACACGGAGAAAATCGTAATATACATTCTCATTTTTTAGAATACTTATTATCATAGAATACTTATTTCAGACATTAAATTTTCTATAAAATTCTTTTAGTCCAAAGCGTGTTCAACAGCAGACACAGCAGAAGAACAATTGGAATCTCTAAACCTAAACACAATTGCTGTTAAGGATGTTAAAGCAATTTTGGAAAGTATCATATCAAATGTTGTTCCAGTATGTATGCATATATAAGTCCCTTGTAAAGATCAATTATGCTGTTGCTTTTTTTTTTAGTAAGCAATATATACTAATAATTTATATTGTTAAAGATGGTATAGAACTGAACAGTTTGTTGAAAATCATAATTGCTGAAGTTTGTAAAGGTTAGTATTTCAAGTGAAATATATTTATTATTTTATTAGCTTAAAACTAAAAATGATATAAAAAACAATATTACTACACATCAAAACAATCATATTGTGTGTATTAATAAATGTTTAAAATTGTTTAAGTTACAAATAAAACACACATACAGATATATATATATACACCTGATAAAAAAATTTGTCGCTAATTTTACTTTACCAGAAATCTTACATATTTTTAAAATAATCTCATAAAATAATATTTCTGTATACAGAAATATAATTACAAATATAATAAATAAAGAACAAATTAAATAAATATTATAAGTTTCATTGAGATTTTAAATTTCAATTTTAAATCAATATTCAGTTTTTGATACTTTGTTCAAAATGATACATAAGTTATATTCTTAAATATAGTTATAATTTTTAATACATTTATTAGGTGAATTATAAGTTTATACAATAATCTAATAAAACAATCCATGATATCTATTCATATATTTTGTTTTGATCACATGTATTTTTATCTTTCGTATACATGCTGGTTAGTAAAATGAACACGTTTCAATTTTATTTTATATAGTACTCTTCTGTCTACTTTTTACTATTATACTCTCTAATAATTTCAAATTGCGTCTAGAAAATAGCTATATAGATTACACTTTAATATGTAGATAATTTAAACACTTAAATTTATTCAGTTATAACATAAAAAATGCAAAATACAAATAGAGCAAGATCTTGTTTCTCATATACAACCTTATTATATACAAAGGACAAGTTAACGTAAAAATTGAAGCTTCTATAATATTGATTTTATTCTTTCTATTACCAGTTTACATCTTTTTGCTTGCAAGTCTTTTGTCTGATCTATAAGTTTTCTTTTGCAAGTCTCTATAGAGTCAGGTTTTTGTGTTTCTTCTCTTGCACGACTTAAACCAGCTGTTAAATCAACCATTTTTTGCTCCCATTCCTCAAGATGTTTTCTCATTTCAGCCAATTGCGTATCTTGATCATGTATTTTTTTTGCCTGTTCTTGTAATTTTAAACTTTGAAGTCTCATTTGAAAACCTTGCCTTTTCATTCTAAGTTTCATTTTATTTATCTGACCTTTCATTGTTAGAACGGACAGTTTATTTTTTTTCGTACGACAAAAAATTTTCTTAAAAGTAAGATTCAATTTTTCAGAGTTAAGATTATGCGGTAGTGTTGTACTGTTTGGATTTGTAGTATGATGCGAAATCATCAAACTTCCACCTGGTAACTCATAGGAACCTACATTACTAACAACAGATGTACAAATACTGTGCTTTAAATCTGGTAAAATTTTTTCATCAAAATGTTCCATAGCCATACTACTAATATCTCTTAATTCCTGAAGTATTTCATGAGCTCTAGGTGGAGTTTTAGAGTCACGAATCAAACGGAGAACTCGAAAAATTTCATCAATCACCTAATAAGTAAAAATAGATTATCAATCAAACCATAACATGTTAGTTGTAGAATATTTGATCATTCACCTTTCCAGGGATAAAGCAACACAGATTCAGGTCTACATATTTTATAAAAGTCATGGATAACATGGATATCCTTGTTTCGATTGCTGTTAATATATCACAATGACGGGCCAAAGGGTGACTCCTTCTCTCCGATTCTCTTCGTGGCAGCTGACTTTTTACTGCACGCAAACATTGAGCATGATATTTTTCCATCAAATTGAAACCTCGATTCAACAACTTTTTACATATTCGATCAAATTGTTTGCAAACCTATCGACATAAAATACATAGAAAATTAGAGAATTCGTTATGTAATTTTTACTTAACAATCCAAACATTGATACAAGATATACAAAAAACAATCTTACAATTCTGTATCGAGAAATTTCGTCGTACGTAAGGTTAGACAGAATTGTCTCCAAAACAATATCGGGAAGATTTATTAATTGCAACATGTCAGTGTTATGTAGTTTTATGGTCGAACTTATAACACTTTCATTCGATAAAAATTGTTCAAATATCGCATCGGTTCGTATCTTTTTCGATCAGCGCGATAATGCGTTCGACACAGCAATTTCAACTATGGTGCATACAATACAATACAATACACAATTACAATTACAATGTTTTGACCGACCGATGACCTATCCTATAACAAATATAGCTGTTGCATTTGCATATGAATGGCTGCGAGTGGAGTCGGTCTCAAATGCAGTTTACTATCTATATTTTTGCAATACCGCAAGGATCGACAAGCATACGCGATATACGTCAGTTTCTTCTCTAATTTTCGCATGTTTAGTGGCCGGATATAACGCAATCGGCTCTCGGCCGCCATATTGTTGTGTCACGTGACGAGGGAGTAGCGAGGTGAATGCGCCGGGTCGAATTCGTGAGGAGGAGTCAAAAAATTTGGACACCGTCGGCCAACAGAAAACCACTCACAAGATGGATGTACGGAAAGTAACAGAATTGTTGCGTGCCACGATTGACCCAGCGCAACAGAAGCAAGCTGAGGAGCAACTAAATCAGGTCGGTCAATTGATGGAAAACGTGCTTCAATGACCGACACCCCGACAGAAACATGTGCCTCTTTGCGAACATTTTTATTCCTTTTCGTTCCTCCCTTCATCGTTTATACTCGATTACCATTAATAATCATTTATAAAAATGCTATCTTTACGATTATTCAAACTAATATTTCCTTTAGACATCCTTACTTACTTATCGTCTTCACTCCACATCGAAAACGACCTTTAACCAAATTCATCATCATTTTTATCCAATTTTTTTACTTATTTACAAATTCTTTAATGTAGTATAGAGTTCTTAGGAATCTTTATTTAAATTAATTTTCTAACCATTTGACATTTTCTCTACTATATTGCTGGTAAACATTTGGTGTAGCAAAATAACTGCTCAATTTTATTTGTGGTATAGTTCCAGCTTGCATAACTTATTAAACCATTTGTGCTTAAATTATTCCATACATTGCATACATTATGGCTAACTCAGTTTTAATTAGACACTATTACCAGTTGTTTTGAGACTTTATTCATTATTATTTCATTCTAAGAACAAATATATATATATATATGTATATATATATGTATATGTATATGTATGAATAATTATTGAAATATTTTTATTGGTACGCATGTATATTAATTTGTCAAATTACATTTGTTTATGAAATAATCATATGGGTGACAGTTAGACTAAATACGAATAGACTGTAACATAGAGTAAATATTTTCAGATACATAAAATTATTGGTTTTGCGCCAACATTGCTCCAAGTAGTAATGACTGCGGACGATATGCCTGTGCGACAAGCTGGTAAATAACAATCATAATTATTATACAACAGACAACAAGAATAAAGTAATGATAAATCGCTATTAATGCAGGTGTTATATATTTAAAAAATTTAATTACCACAAATTGGGCTGACAGAGAAAGCGAAAATGGTCCGGTTGAGTTCAGCATTCACGAACAGGATAGAGCAATGATTCGCGATGCAATCGTCGATGCTCTTGTACATGCACCAGAACTTATCAGAGTACAATTGGCAGTTTGTGTCAATAACATTGTAAAACATGACTTTCCTGGAAGATGGACACAAATAGTGGACAAAATTACAATATATTTACAGAATTCTGATGCTTCCTGCTGGCCAGGTGTTCTTCTAGCGCTTTATCAACTTGTTAAAAATTTTGAGTATAAAAAAGCAGAGGAGAGAGGGCCACTGAACGAAGCAATGAATCTTTTATTTCCTATGATATACCAGCTAATATTGCGACTTTTACCAGATTCTTCTGATCAATCAGTTTTGCTGCAAAAACAGATATTGAAGATTTTCTTTGCCCTCACGCAGTATACTCTCCCTTTGGACTTGATTTCGAAAGAAGTTTTTTCACAATGGATGGATGTGGTGCGACAAGTAGCCGATAGGCCTGTTCCGCCCGAAACGAATAATCCAGATTTAGACGACGATGAACGAGCAGAATTACCATGGTGGAAGTGTAAGAAATGGGCTCTTCATATTCTTCATAGAATGTTCGAGAGATATGGCAGTCCTAGAAATGTAACCAAAGAGTACAAGGAGTTTTCCGAGTGGTACCTGAGAACTTTCAGTGGAGGTATACTCGAAGTCCTATTAAAAATTTTGGATCAATATCGGAGAAAGATATATGTATCGCCCAGAGTGATTCAGCAATCAATTAATTACATTAATCAGGGAGTGAGTCACGCGTATTCATGGAAGTTTTTAAAGCCACATATGTTCGAGATAATTCGCGATGTACTCTTTCCAATTCTTTCATATTCTGCCGCGGACGAAGAACTTTGGAATAACAATCCATATGAATATATCAGAGTGAAATTCGATATATTCGAAGACTTTGTGTCTCCGGTAACCGCGGCACAAACATTATTGCATTCTGCTTGTAAAAAACGTAAAAGTATGCTTCAAGAAACCATGCAATTCTGCATGGAAGTGTTAACTAGTCCAAATGCAGATCCCAGACAAAAGGATGGCGCGTTACACATGGTTGGAAGTTTAGCAGATGTCTTGTTAAAGAAGAAAGTTTACAAAGAACAAATGGACAAGATGCTGTTACAATATGTTTTTCCCGAATTCAATAGTGCTCATGGACATATGAGAGCAAGAGCATGTTGGGTATTGCACTATTTTTCCGAGATAAAATTTAAGCAGGAACAGATACTAATCGAGGCAATTCGATTGACTACAAATGCCCTTCTGACGGACCAAGATCTTCCAGTTAAGGTAGAGGCTGCCATTGCTTTGCAGATGCTTCTTTCTGCTCAGGATAAAGCACAAAAATACATAGAACCCCTAATCAAACCGATAACGCTTGAATTATTAACTATTGTACGAGAAACAGAGAACGACGACTTAACGACTGTTATACAGAAAATTGTTTGTACATATTCGAATCAGCTTATGCCAATTGCAGTTGAAATGTGTCAGCACCTAGCTGCAACTTTCAGCCAAGTGCTAGAAACAGATGAAGGCAGTGACGAAAAAGCTATAACTGCCATGGGTTTGTTAAACACAATAGAGACTTTACTAACTGCGATGGTTAAACAACCACAAATCATGGCACAATTACAACCAATAGTGCTTCAGGTTGTTGCTCACATATTTGGAGAAAGCGTTATGGAATTTTATGAAGAAGCTCTTTCGTTAGTTTACGATTTAACTGGTGAGACAATTTTACCAGATATGTGGAAAGTCCTGGAATGGATGTATCAACTCTTTCAAAAAGATGGTTTCGAATATTTTACCGATATGATGCCCGCCCTTCATAATTATATCACAGTTGACACATCAGCATTTCTCTCCAATGAAAATCACGTATTGGCTATGTTTAATATGTGTAAAGCTGTACTAACTGGCGATGCCGGAGAAGATCCAGAATGTCATGCTGCCAAACTGTTGGAAGTTATTATTTTACAATGTAAAGGCCATATCGATCAGTGTATACCTTCACTTGTGCAATTGGTATTGGAGCGTCTGATGCGTGAAGTGAAAACTTCCGAATTGAGAACAATGTGTTTGCAAGTAGTAATTGCAGCCCTTTATTATAACCCAGCCCTCTGTCTTGAAACAATGGATAGATTGCAAGGAAACTTTGGACAATCAACGGAACCAATTGCATCTCACTTTATTAAACAATGGATACATGACACAGACTGTTTCTTAGGGCAAGTATTTTACATTTTTAATAATAAATATTTATTTGGCTAATATACAGTTAATGTAATACAGCTAAATATAGCTAATCAGCGATTTTTTATATAAACAACTTTTTCATTTTTCTAGATTACACGACAGAAAGTTATGCGTTCTTGGATTGTGTACTTTAATTAGCATGGGACCAGCGAGACCGCCAGCAGTAAATGAATGTGCCCAACAAATCATACCTTCTTTAATTCTACTCTTTGATGGTCTAAAAAGAGCCTATGCGGCTAAGGTAACTGAGACTGACGACGAAGAAAACGAGGATGACGACAGCGATATCGACGAAGGTGACAATTATCATATACAGTCTCCGTTCCTCTTTTTTTAATTTATTTTCAGTATACATTAATTGCATGATTACATGTATTACATTGATACGTATTAAATTATAATAGTATTTGTCATACTTCAACAGAGGTATTATCGTCGGATGAAGATGAAATCGACGATGCTAGTCAAGAATATTTGGAAAAATTACAAGAAAAGGTGCCAAGATCGGCTGCGCAACATGGTTTCAATGTATCAGCTTCGCTTCAAGATGGCCATGGCGATCATACGTCAGACGACGATGGCGATGGCTCGGAATACGATGCTAACGAAGAAACTCCACTCGAATGCTACGTCACACCTTTAGATTCAGAAGACACGAATCAAGACGAATACATTGTCTTCAAAGAAGTGATGCAAAGTAAGCAGCTAGGTTGCACTTGTTTTATTTAAGCCTTCATAAGTTCTTATAATTTTTCTGTTTCACAAGATATCTACAATATATATTTTTGTATGTTTTCGACTTCAGATATTGAGAGATCGGATACAGTTTGGTACAGAGCATTAACCGGTCATTTAACTTCGGAACAACAGAAAGCATTACAAGAAATTATCCTTCTAGCGGATCAGCGTAAAGCAGCTCTGGAAAGTAAAAGAATTGAACAAAGCGGAGGTGAGTTCGATTAACTGTTTTAATATTTATACAAGTTTATACAATCTAATTGTAATAGATGTATCGTCACATTGAAAATATATTTGTTTAATTCTTGTTCTCAGGTTATGCTTTTCACTCGCAGACGGTACCTACATCGTTCAACTTTGGTGGTACGCCCCTGACCCGATAAAGACTCCCGATCGTTTATATTTTTAGCTTAAGTAAGTAAATAAATTTGCGAAGCATCTGAGTCGCGTATCCTTAACGATGCAATAAATGTTCCCACTCCGTTGACACCGAGTTACACATGAATCAAATCGGATATAAGAACGTCTTTTTTTGTTTGTTTCTTCACGTTTTTCTGGCTTTTCATGACTATAGCTCGGTACATACAACAATGGTAGCATCCTTTCGAGCGTTTGGAAATCCATTCCACGATGGAATCTGCGGAGAAGCACGCTTCTTCTCATAACACACACTAGTAAAACGTAATTAATTC